TTTTTTTTGTGTGTGTGTGTGTGTGTGTGTGTGTGTGTGTGTGTGTGTCATTTTCTTCCCCCTACCTTTCCCCTATGGGAGATATATAATCGTTTCAGAACTTGCCAAAGTTTTTCATTTTGATTTTTCACTCCTTTTTGAAGCTGTTCAAAATTATTTACAAGACTAAGCATATCTTAAGTCTGCTTTAAGTGTCAATGTGTACTGATTAGCTGCTGCCTTATAAAACAAATAGCTTAAACAGTCTAAGAAATCTACTGTAGTAGGTTAGCAATAATATGTACCCATGGAGAGAAAAATTTTTTGCTATTAAATTGGGCAGACTTAGTTTGGTAGCACTAATCCTAAAGGGAGTGCTGCAACGGGTAACCTTACTACAAAACGAACTGTAACAATTTTAAGTGAAGTGCATGATACTTTGATTAATACAACTTCAAGGCATAAAAAGCCTTTGATGCTTTTATTCAGAGCATTTATTTTCATATTTGATCTTTTCCTATTTTGCATCTATCTACTTTGTGTGCTGTAGTTGAAAACCAGAGAATACCAACTCCATGTCAAGAATGTAAATTATATTATAGAGAAGCTGTCTTGTGACTCAGTGCCATGAGTTTAAATACTTCTTTAAGGAACTGAGAGGGAGCAAGTCTCTCACTTGAAGAACTCATTACTTACATAGGTTATTTACAGGCAAAGAAACAAGTAAAAGATATGTTACAATCAAAATTAGCCAAATATGCTTACCTTGTATCTTGTTAGCAATAAGGTTCTTAGAAAGTAAGCTAATTATTTTTAGTGTTGAAATTACAGTGTAAATTAGATGTGAGGATTGTGGGGCAAAGAACGAAAAGTGGATCACACGGGGTGTTCATGCCAGATTAAACCTTGTTATTTGAGACCTATACTTGTCATACAAGGTGAACAAAGACTTTCCTGAAAACCCTATATAGTGTTTTGTTGTTTTTTTTTGTTTGTTTTTTATTCCAGAAAACGTTTATTTTCAGCAGAGAAGTCTAAAATTGTTTCTTTTATCCTTGCCTCTCCTCCTCTGCCTTCTCTTTTTCTCTTTTGCCCACAGTCTTCTCTTTTTGCTTATGCAGAGTAAGCATACCACAAGAAGGCTGTATTTCTCAGGTCCTGTTTCTGTTTTCTGTGTTCATGGTGAGCTGGATGTCTACTTCAGCAGTGTATTCAGTTCATGTGACTCTTACATATGATGTTTGATATTTTTCTAAAGTGAGAAATTTTCTTCTTGAGGAAACATAATAGTATATTATACTTGTTGAAGGCTAATAGCTTAGTCTAATTTTAACATGATTGAAACAGATCTCATTCATTTTTGGTACATAATCATAAGTAACAACTTCTGATATCTCTTCTGTGCTTCAGGGATTAGTTAGGAACTCAGATCTATTCTCCTATAGCACCAGATTTTTAGCTACTTATTTTTATTTTGCTAACATTTGATCTTGATTGACTGCCTGCATCCTGTAGAGTACAAATCCATGGCCTGTGCTTACCCTCCTTC